GATGACCAGGGTTGATTTGGGGGCTAATTGGTAGGCCTAATGAGGATATGTATTCTACGCCAGGTCGGATTTGTTGACTCGGCACCGTTATTACAAAAAGGGTGTCATTCGGTTAGAGTGAGCTTGTTCGTGCTCTGATATGTTATATGTGTTATCATTCTATGCTACGAGAGGTTGTGATTTGTGGTTAAATGCACACATGATGTGGTTCGGTCTGGGCCTTATAGCAGACTTCGTGTGATTTGGTGATTGGGATGTGTAATGGTTGATTATGCCTTGGTTATGGTCCTTTCGAGTTGTGGTATTATGTTAATTGCTTCTCCGTGGTTATGGTCATGCGCCTTGGGTACTTGATGTTGAATTATGCGTGGTTGTTTATTCTAAGCATGGTGGCTTGAGGTATTTCATATGGGCCAGTGTTTGGATGAGGTCACGCATTATAGCTGGGACATGTCGAGATGTGATCCTTTGTGTTAGATTCGTGTGTCTTGGTTTCACTATGTACGATGGGTTCATAACATTGTGGTTGTGGTGGTGCTTGTTGAGTTGTGGGACGGTTCTCTCATTTGAGTCATCTTCCATTTCTGGGTGCATTTGGATTGTTGCGTATTGGTGCACGGATTGCACAGTTTGTGGCCCTGGCTAGTATTGGTGTGGCATGTCAGTAGAGTAGCTTGTATTTGATAAGATGAGGTCACTGAACCTAGAATAGGTGCTATCGGATCTGATTGCGGTATATTTGGAAGGATAATATCGGAAGTCGGCTTAGAAATTTTGGTTATAGTTCTTGTCGAAGGAGGGAGAGTTCCATGAATTGTTGACCTGATGAGTGGTTAAGAGTTTTTACGTGTTTCTTTCACCATCGGCAGTGTACAAAGGTTGAGAGCAAGATTTAGTTAATATGAGGTTTGCTGCCAGTGTCGAGTTGGTGATCAAGCAGCTATTGCAGTCGGAAATCATTGTTATGGGTACTTGAGTTAGGTGGTATGATAAGTGATCACCTCTTAGGTTATGGTTATGGCTTGATACAACTTGTTCAGGCTTGTATAGTGTGTAGACGCGAGGTTCGTATCTTGTAGGAGATTCCGAATGTTGGAAATTGGATTTTGTGGTTTACGGGTTAAGGTTGAAATAATGATCTTCAGATATGTTGTGTTGTCAGGCCTATATGGAATAGGCTGACGTGGGATCACCCCCGGGTATGTGCATGGTAAGGTTACACGGCGGTTTTATGGCTTTTGGAACACCTCTTGGCACGTTCGAGGATGAACATATGTTTAAGTGGGGGAGGATGTAACGACCCGACCGGTCGTTTTAGGCATTTGCACTTCGTTCGGTAGTTTGAGGGCATGAGTAGCTCTATATGATGTATTATGACTTTTGTGAATCGTCGGTTTTGGTTTTCAGGTTATTCCGAATCGATTTGGAAGAATGAATTTCATGGTTTAAGCTTTAAGTTGGAAGAGTTGACCAAGTTTAACTTTTTAGTATTTGAGCTTGGATTGGAGTTTTGATGGTTCTGTTAGGTCTAGATGATGATTTTGGACTAGGGCGTATGCCCAGACTTGCATTTGGATGTTTCTAGAAGGTTTCGGCACAAATTGGCGAAAGTTGGAAATTTGAAGGTTTAGAAAGTTCATAAGTTTTACCGAGAGTTGACTTTGAGGATATCGGGTTATTAATAGCTTCGTTATGTCATTTGGAACTGGAGTATAAAATTTGAGTTTATTCCGAGTTGATTTGACATGTTTCGGCACAAGTTTTAGAAGTTGAGAAGTTCAAAGTTCATTAAGTTCGATCGAGGTGTGATTTGTCATTTCGGTGTTGTTAAAGCGTGATTTGAGGCCTCGAGTAAGTCCGTGTTATGATATGGGAGTTGTTGGAATGTTCGGACGGGGTCCCAAGAGGCTCGGGCGTGTTTCGGATGGTATTCGGATCATTTTCCTTCATTTTGGCATTGCTGGTAGCTGCTGTTTGTTGGTGTTTCAAACCTTCTTCGCGATCGCGAAGATAGGGACGCGATGGCGTAGTTTATCAGAGGAGCTGGTATTTATCCTTCATCACATTCGCGCACCTTTGTGAGTTCTGGGTCGCGCACTTATGACTGCGTTCGCGTAGGGCTGAGCTGAGATGCTAGGACTGGGGAGTATGCCTTCGCGCTCGCGAAGTAGCTTACGCGATCGCATAAGGTGAAGCTATTGTGAATCGCGTTCACGAGGGGTATGTTGTGAATGCGTAGAGTATTTTGGTGGCAGATTATTTTTGTTCATTGCGAACGCGATGGATTTTCCGCATTCACGTAAGAGGAATGCCTGGGCAGAATTATAAGTACTCTATTTCGGGGGTTTCGACCATTTTATCATAATTGGAGTTATGGAGCTCGGATTGAGGCGATTCTTGAAGTAATTTTCTCTATATGGATTGGGGTAAGTGTTCTCTACTCATTTTTGATTTTATATCATGAATCTATCTTCATTTTTGGCAATTGGTTGATGATTTCAAAAAAGAAAATTGGGGGGTTTTGACTAAAGTTTCATAGAGCAAATTTTTGAGTTTTGAACATCGATTCGAAGTCGGATTTGAGTGAAACTAGTATGGTTGGACTCGTAATTGAATGGGTTGTCGGATTTTGTGAGTTTTATCAGATTCTGAGGCGTGGGCCCGGGTTTAACTTTTGGGTTTACTTTGGGCTTTTGATTAAAGATTCGACATTTATCGATTGGGTCTGTTCCTTTGGCATTATTTGATGTATTTGAGTTGCTTTTGGCTAGTTTCGAGCCGTTCATAAGTCGATACGCGTGTGATGGCATTTTGGAGCATCGTCTGACTTGCTCGGTATTGGATTTGGCTTGTTCGAGGTAACACTTCTAAACTTGGTGCTGAGGGTATGAAACCCCGAATTATGTGTTATTTGATTGATATTGAGGTGATGCGCATGCTAGGTGACAGGCGTGTGGGCGTGCACCGTAGTAACTGAGACTCAGTCGATTCTATGGGGAACTGTGTAGCTATCTTATTTGATTATTTTTACTGTACTCTATGTGTTAGAGCACTTGAGCTGTGATCCATGTTAGAAACCATGTCTAGGCTACATGCTTATCCTGTTGGGACCTACTGAGGTCATTTCTGCTATAGAGTTATCTGATTACATTACAATTGCATACTCAGTCATACGCATTCATATGCATATCATATCTCAGTCTCTATTACCATTTACTGATATATCACATCATTATTGTTGGGCTGATTTCATGACATTGTGAGCCTGAGAGACTGGAGAGATTAATGACTGAGCAAGGTCGAGGGTCTAATTGTGAGGATATTGATTTAGGATGGGAGCGGGTTGCACGCCGCAATAGATGTTATTGATTTATGCCATGGTTGTCTTATTATAGTGCTTAGGCTGAAGTAGCCCATCCGAATTCTGTACACACTCCCAGTGAGCGCAGGTACCTACTGAGTGCGAGTGCCGAGCACGAGTGCTGAGTGATTGGGAGGATTGAGCGACTGTTAGGATTGAGTGGCTGTGAGTGATTGGGAGGACTGAGTGCACTGATATACCGAGAGTATGCGTATGTTTTATCATTGCATTGTATTATAGTTGGCATGCATACAAAAAATCTTATGTGTTGCTGAAAATTTTAGGAAAAATTACAGTTTTACAAACCTACTCATATTTTGGTGATTTCGCTAAAAGAATTGGGTTTTCACTGATATACTTGAAAAGCATGCCTATTTTTCCGGAACTGTAAACGAGTTGAGCATCCTATATTTGAGTATGTTTCTTGTACCATTATTATTATTTTATTACGAATTGTAGTTGGCTATTGGTGTTGGACTCCGACTCTGTTCCAGCTCGTCACTACATTCAACCTAAGGTTAAGTTTGTTACTTATTGAGTACATGGGGTCAGTTGTACACATACTACACTTCTGCACCTTGCGTGCAAATTTTGGATGATGATGTTGCTGTGTATGACGGAAACTAGCATTGAAGACGTACCTGCATTCCAGTTACAACTACCTCTTGTTCGTGGTAGCTCTAGACTTATGAAAATTTGTCTATGTACATTCGAATAGTTGATGTATATATTTCATACTAGCTTTATTAACTCTAAATCTTAGAAGCTCATGATTTGTACTACCAGTCCTTGGAAAATGTATAAGTTTCAGATATTTTATCATTTATTTGTCTTAATAAATCTCATTAAATTGGATGGTTGTTAATTGGCTTACCTAGCGGGTTGGGTTAGGTGCCATCACGACTAGTTGGATTTTGGGTCGTGACACCTGTGAATAATGATCATTGGAGTGATGCAAGATGTTATCCAAATAGTATTGAATATGTTATATTTAAAGCACAAATGACCACAAGACACGATGAAGACAGTGTCTACTTTTAAACACAACAAGAAGCAGGGCGAATATGAAGAACTAAAACTAAGAAGATGACTTAAAGAAACAAATATGCAAAGAATTCAATTAATTCTGTAGAAACACAGGTTCTTAAAACGTATCATAAAAAGAAAACTGAAATAGATCATGACCCTACTTTTAAGTCATGGAACTGACCATGATAACTGACTCCTAATAGAATTGAAAATACAAACTGCAGGTTCCAAGTCGTTGCTTCAGGAGCTCGAACTGGCTGACAAGAAGAGATTTCGTAAACACATCTGCTAGTTGATCTTCAATTTTGCAGTAAACAAGAATCACTTCTCTATTTTTTCTGCACATCCCTCAAGAAAAAAACTTAATGTTGAAGTGTTTAGTCTTCCCATGGAACACTGGATTATGTGAAATAGCTATTGCAGCTTGATTATCAACGTGAATCTATGTATTATCTCTTTGATCCATATGCAAATCACATAGTATTTTTCTCAGCCATAAGGCTTGATTTACTGTCGTTGTTGCTGCAATGAATTCAGCCTCTACAGTGGATTGTGCCACAGTTTCTTGCTTCTTGGAACACCAAGAAAAAATTCATGTTCCTAGGCTGAATCAATATTCAGATGTACTATTCATATCGTCAAAGGATCCAGCCCAATCACTGTCTGAGAATCCATACAACTTGAGATTCTGACACTTCTTGAATTTGACACCATAGTCGACAGTACCTTTAATGTATCTTATAATTCTTTTTGCTGCTTTCAAATGCTTTTCAGTAGCACAATGCATAAATCTAGACAAAAGACTTACAGCAAATAGAATATCCGGCCTTGTAGCAGTGAGATACATCAAGCACCCAATCAAGCTTCTGAAATTTCCTTCATCAACTTTATTAGTCACGTCCTCTTTGCTTAACTTTTCCTTTGGATTCATAGGTGTACTTGTTGCATTGCAGTTCTCCATGCCGAATTTTTTAAGTATCTCCCTTGCATACTTCTTCTGGCAAATAAAAATTTTATCAGAACCTTGCTTGATTTCCATTCCCAGAAAGTATGTCATTAGCCCAAGGTCTGTCATTTAAAAAAATTGCATCATTTCCTTCTTAAATTCTTCAACTAGGCACGCAATGTTCCCTGTCACCAAGAGATCATCAACATAAAGAGAAACTATAAGAAGATCAGTTCCCTTATGTTTGACATAAAAGGTAACTTCAGACATACTTCTTGCAAATCCCAAACTCAACGAGTGTTCATCTATCCCGCTATACCAAGCCTTTGGAGCTTATTTTAAGCCATAAAGAACCTTTTTAAGAAGACAGACTTTTTCTTCTTGTCCTTGCTCAATAAAACCCTCTGGCTACTCTATACGGATTTCTTCCTGCAATATACCATTAAAAAAGGCGGATTTGACATATAGCTGGAACACCTTCCAGCTTTTTTGTGCTGCTACTACTAGAAACAATCTAATAATATCCAACAACAAAAGTGTCTGAGTAATCAACACCAAAAATCTGGGCATATCCCTTGACTACAAGCCTAGCCTTGTGTTTGTTGATAGAACCATCAGAATTAAGCTTGGTTCTAAAAACCCATTTTACTCCAATGACCTTCCTATCCTTTGGCCTGTCAACTAACTCCCAGATTTTGTTCTTCTTGATTATTAACATCTCCTGTTCTATAGTATTTCTCCAATTTTTATCTTGAAGTGCTTCCTCTGCCCAGCAGGTTCACAGATTGCCACATTACTTTGTTGGAAGATATTAGAAAGCAATTTTGTACCGAGATTTGAGTTTAACTTCTGTTATTTATCATGAATCTTGTAACTACATGGCAACAAGATTATACCATTACACATGAATGATTGATGTGGTCGTTAGCATTACCAAAGGGTGTTGATAGAGATCATGAGTATTCTAATCCGCTGATCAAAGGTCCGAAATGCACGAAAAGATCGAACGGTTACCAAAATGTTTGATCAGAGGGTATGCAATGGACCCGCTAGTTGATAGGCAAAAGCAATTAGTAAAGTTGTTAGAGACACGTGGAGTGCACGTGGTGGAGGAATTTCTTGAAATAGAGTACGATGGTGCTGAGATATTTGATCCTCAAATTGCCCAAGCCTTTTATGACTTGGTCAAGGATTTTGTTAATGCTGCTAGTACTTAAGCATTTGACAGCAATAATGCAGGCAAATAAATCAAGCTTTAAGAATGAGATCGACGATTCTAAGTTCTTTTTTCATTATTTGGAAAGACTTTTACGTCTCAAATCTATCTACTATTATAGAATTCATTAGGTACTGAAGCCACCTTTTCATGGCAAGATCACAAGTGAAAAGTACACAATAAGTAAAGGCATAATACAACCTAGACATTGGACAATAATCGAGATTCAACTAAATTAGATACTTCTGAAAGTATGTTGGATCCATCACAACTTAAAGTAAATATTGCATAATCCTCTCCTCTGAAAATTAAGAATATGTAGGTGCTAATACAAAAAAAAAAAAAAAAAAAAAAAAAAAAAAAAAAATGTAGGTGCTAATACTGCCTTTTAACGGTATCATATTTCACACACAACAGTTCTCTTAGTCTACTCAGCCGCTGGAACAGTTCATTATTCCTGTTCTGGTAAATGAAGTAAACACAAGCGATAGTGAGCCTATTCAAGCAGCCATTCTATGCAGTAGTGGATGTAGCTTTTGACAAAAAAAAAAAAAAAAAAGTGTAACCACTCATGCATAGAAAGGACCCATAAGTTATAACCTTGTGTAACAAGTTGAAATAAATAGATCAGAATCACATCACAATATTTAGCACAGAAAAAAATATCATGATCTATTTAGCACAGAGGGAAAAAAATCAAAGATATGATATAGCTTGAGAAGACAAACCTCAAATCTAATCCAGAGGATATCTCCTAATGGAACATGAAACATAAAAGGGCATTCTGGTGCACTAGGCTCCCGTTACACACGAGGTCCCGAGAAGGGCCAGACCACATTGGGGTCTTAGGTACGCAGCCTTAACCTTGCATTTCTTCACGAGGTTGTTTCCGCAACGAACCCGTAACCTCCTAGTCACATAGTGACACCTTTTATCCTTGCGCCAAGGCTCCTCTTCAGGATCATGAAACATAAGAAAAAACTATATTCCTTCAACTCCAGAAATGCAAAAGACAGCATCGTCTAAGTGGCTAAACTTGCAAGAACCGCTTCGATATAATTCAACAATACACTCCAGTTATTGTTCAAAGAAAACACTGTGAATCAGAATATTACAAACTCTCCTTCACCCTAATCATATATCTCCATGCAGAAAGGATTGGTTGCTGGTGAAAAAGACAGAAGACATCAGAACTGAAAATCGAATACAAGTGAATCAGGAAAAGAATAAGGAATCAGGGGGGTTGTTTCACAATGGAGACAAGAGCATAGCTGTATATGGAGCTCTTCAGTCAAGACGGTCATAGAAATGTGACCACGCAGAGCAGACCAAACTGCACTTTCAAAATTCATCACTCCTTCATTCACCTAGTTTGCAGCTGCGAATGTATGGATGATCAAACTTAATATATTTGGTCCAGTATGATCTGTACTTTGTCATTGCCAACTCTAGCCATGGTTTCATGTTCCCATTGTAGTGTATCACAGCTGCATTCTCAATTTCTGACCTATCGATGCTTGGGCTGTAACCCAAACCTAGAACATGCCATGACTTATCCAGCGGATGTGTAAGCCCGTAAAATGTCATTAGCCCTGGAGGTAGTGTCCCTAGCTTCCAGAGGACCCGATCTTCATTCTAATGCAAATGCAGAAAAGAAACAATCAACTCAGTAAGATCCCTTGAAAATTAAGATTCTTCTACAAGTGGGGTATCGGAGAGAAGCATACTAACAAATTTCTCTCAAGTAATCGATCTCTATATTGGTGTAAAGGAACATAAGATATATGCTATAATCAAACATTCTGAGCCAACATAAAATAAGTTTCACATAATGAAACTCAGTGTAGAGGTACCAAAACAGTATGTAAAAAGTAAATATCATAGGTGGAAAGGAAGGCATAAGATCTCTCACCATGTTTTGCCACTTGTGATAAATACCAGTTATATCTCTCTTCTTCCACTCCTTCAGATCAAAGATGTTCATCCCATATGCCCACCCGCAAGCATTTGGATCAAAGTTTTTGGCAATGAGGATTTGAAAAATTTAGATACTTGTCAAAACGGTGAAAACTCTGACCACATGTTTCAACAGCACCATTTACTTTTTCATGAAGATTTACAGACCATAGTCCCGTCAGGTCTTTCTGAACAACAATATCATCATCAAGAAAAAGGATTTTATCTAATTTGGGATAAATCTGAGGGAGATAAAATCTGAGGTGATTGAGCATTGAAAGATACTTGGGGTTCCGGTACTTCAAATTAGAAGAACCAGCTGATAGCGTGGTGGAATGTGCACCCTTGAAATAGTACTCCTTCATAGCAGCAGATTCTAGCTGCCGTAGGACAGGACAGTATGAAGAATTAAGCCACTTGAACTCGTCGACATTTTCAACATGGATTGTAGCTTTTCCAGGAGGGTTCAGCAAGAACCACATATTCATAGCTCCAAAATTCAACTTATCAGTGACAAGATGAAATACATGTTTTGCTGGTTCCTGCAAAACAACGAGTGGTATTTTCAACAATCCAAAAATAGCTTCTAAAATGTAGCCAACATGCTTTCTGGTGATGTAACTATCAGAAACATATAAGATCTTTAAATATATAAAAGCATAAGACTTATCATGCATTTAAGAAATGTTTGTAATTGTTACCAAGGATTGAACATCATCAATTGATATCAAATAAAAGTAGAAAGTCTCTCACGCATCCATAGTAAAAACAAAAAACTGCAATGTGGATAATGGTCTGGATAATCCCAAACAAAATTCCTTACCTTAGCATTCATGATAGTTGAGTTGACAACTACTGAAGCGGCCAAAACATTGTCAGAGAATAGGGCATAATGGAAAAGACTAGGATTTTCCAGATTCTCACGTCTAGGGAACTTTCTTTTTTCAGGAGGGAGGAGGTAATAATCAATAGTCAGACGCATGGATAAGCAGTGGATACCATTTGGAATGGTCTTCGCAGCTAATTGGCTCAAAAAAGTGCTCTGCCTCTTCAAACTTCTAACATGCTCATCGGCAGATTGCAGCGTTGCTCTCAGCTTCCCCGTAACAAGCTTGCAGTCATAGAGCTGCTCTTTAGCTTTTGAAAGCACTTGGCCCATTGATTTAATCTTCTCATGTGCACTATTTGAACACAGGAACATGAATGAGTTAATCTTTCCTTTACAAAACAGGGACAAATGAACAATGGTCAAGTATCCAAAGGTCAACAAGAATTTGCTACCTGCGAGTTAGATCAGCATCAGATGTTGCTTCACCTAATGCGTGCTGACTTTCTTTAAGCTGATTCTGTAACTCTTGAGCCAAGCCAATCTTTTTCTTCGTTGTTGCAATGCTTATATACACCCTTGCCATAACCATTTGGTCTCGCATCAAGCGTACCTTTGAATCAGTATTCTCATTTTCATTCTCTTTCCTCCATATGCTATACTTCCCCAGCACAGCAGAGTCAACTGACTTAGAGCGTTCAAGGGCAGCATTTTCAAGCTTCACAGTTACATCATCATCTTGTTTTACTAAAGCAGCATCATGCTTTTCGCGTCTCCTCTCTCTCAATTGCTGCATAGCACTTGAAAAGTTATACTACTACCACAACCAGCTGAGGTATACAAAAAGGGGGGGGGGGGGGGGGGGGTAGGAGAGAGACAGAGAGAGTGAATTGAAACTGAATTCTCTCTCTCTCTCTCTCTGCTGAGTGCTGATATCGGAAGTGCAACAAAAGTAAATGCAAGTATAAAGTGGCTGATAATGATAGTACCCTTCTGGCCAAAGTAGCAGGTGCATCCAAAAACTGGGAACGATCATCTGCTTGGAAAAAAGTATATCTAATTATTCATACATTTGTGAGGCACTCAAAAGTTGCCAAGATCTGAACAAACTATTTACCATCTACAAGACCATCCTGTTTGCCTCTGGAGATCCCCGTTTTGACATACGCAGCTATCTGATTTGGCCCATTTCCCTGTGATACATCCAACACGATAATAAATCAGCATCTTGCGAGTTAGATTATTTTTCAGCAATAACTAATGGGAATAAACAATATCCAAGCTTGAGAATGACTCTCATTCCGACCTCAACATTATTAGTATTGCTCTTGGCCAAGCTTTCTTCACCGACAGATTGCCAGAATGCAGACAAATTCTTCTTTCTGAATGAGTCGAGACTGAAAGGTCCTAAGTCATCTGCACTGGCTTTGATGACATCAAACACCTAAAATATGCTCAATTACTGAGAGTTGAAAACTATTCTATTCTAGAAGGAGACCAAAAGGAGTGCTAAAAACTCAATTACAAAAATCAACATATTAGAAACTTGCCTTTGTTGTCAACAAAGGTTTAATATGTTGCAAAGCAAGCCTCTCTCTCGAGTCTAACTCCTGCACCAGGACGAATTCTTCTTTTGATGATGATAGCAGGACTAAATTTTTACTCAACTACAATCAGCAACTTGGATCCTAATGTACAGTTAATACAAACAAACTTGGATCCTAATGTACAGTTAATACAAACAAAGCCGGATACCTGTTTACTTGAAGTGGTTGAAAAATCATTATGATCTGTAAAAGGAACATAAAGTTGGGTTATTACATATTATGCAACCATAGGAAGGATATTGTAAGTGAGACAACTAAATATTATGTGTGTGGGTGGGTGGGTGGGTGGGTGTGGGTGTGTGTGTGAGAGAGAGAGAGTTAACAAATACATCACTAAGTGTTTTGGCATACAAAGATTCCACTCAATACCCACTTTGAACCACCACTAAAGGCACCATTACCTTTTCCACTATGAGATGTGCTCTGGCGACAGTAAAGTGGTGCCAGTTACTCAAACAGTGGTTTTAAAGTGAAAAAGGAAAGTGAAAAGGTCCATGGGGCTTGAAGCGTATGTTTCAAAATGAAGCGTGTGTTCTTTTGGAGTGAAGCGCATAATTTGGGAAAAATTAAAAATACCCTAACATATATGAACTTAGTAGTATAATAAAATTACGATTATTATCACAAATTTCAGCATCAGATATACAATAATGCTGATAGCCTGATACAACTCCTCAAAGTTGAGATTCAGAGAACAGCTACTTTTCGTTTGCATCACTTTGCACGTCATTGTTTGAACTTTGAAGCACATACTTCTTCAAAGCGCATGGCTTCACTCACGAAGGGTTAACCCCTTGCTTCGTATCATTTGATCGCTTTAAGCGATGCTTTTAATAACACCACTCAAACATCGAACCGAGTTACTGCTTCCATTCCAAAACTACAATTTACCTACTTTCTGCTCAAGAACCCAATTAATTAAGTTAATATATTCTTAGTATTTTGGGAGCATTTGACATAGCGGAAAATGTTGTTCCACAAAAATTATTATCCCTTGAAAAAATTGTATCTTGAAAAATCATATTTGTGATATATGGTAGTCATACAAGGTTCAACTGGTTCCCTTACCTTACATTAGTTATAAAAAGAAAGGTGTATCCAGTCCCAACTCCGATAAAGGAGGTTCGCCGTAAGATGATGGTCATAGTCTAACTTTGAGGAATTTACCAAGTATCGATTTGGTTGGGACATGCCTACCTAGACACACTACATCAGCACCCAGGTGCAGTGTTAGATGCAGTGTTAGATGAGCAAGGAGTTTCGTAACATCATAGCCTAAGTGTGAGGGATTATTGATATGAATTTGAATAAAGTGAACTGAACACATAGTTCATACAACAAAACCCCAAATAATTTTAGATTAAGACATAATTGATTATTTTGATTGTTTTTGGTTTGGTGAGAAGAAGACATCTGTTGTCAGCGTGCTTCCAATTCATTGTATAGTGAAAATCAGACAAATCGACCTTTTATTTGAATTTTCTAGCAAGTGTGACAGTCGGTTAAAAGAACATTTTGCATCTTTCTATATTGTTCAAACCACTTTACTCTTTCTTTTCTTTTCTTTTTGCCCCTTCTCTGATCAGGGTACTTAGATTTGGCACCAAGGAGATGATACCCCTATTCTTAAAGAACACAAAGGAAAAAACACCTGAAAAGAAATTCTATCCAAGAATTCACAAAAACCATTATGATCCTTTAAAGAGCATTCTCAAGTCCATTTCACCTTTAGAGTTTAGTCAAACAAAAACATATGAACGTAAAACTAAACCGAAAACTCTGCATCATGAACCGCTCAAGATTGCATATCAGCTAAGTTGGAACAGCACAATCTTTTTGCTTCTTTATTTCAACAGTGTTCACTTATCCCAAAAAAGGGGCATATCAGCTAAATCCATAGGAAGAGCTAAAAAACAGCTTTTGACACAGACATGTAATTTTCTTCTATTTTTTTCCTAATCCTCTCATAGTAGGTGTTAATATCCCAGCTCTATGAAATCAAGAAATCAGAGGAGCAGCATAATAAGCAAAATCAAATTCTCCTAATGCATCTATCAACTATAAAAAAAGGTAATAAGAGCCAAAAGCCAATGTTATTGTCATGTAGACACTTCCACAATTTTAACATCTTAGGTATAATGAGGCGGATGTGGAAGTGAGGCTTGATACACAAGTCATTCCCAAGAGAGGAAGTTTCAAGTATCTTGGGTCGGTAACCCAAGGTAATGGGGAGATTGAAGATGATGTCACACATCGTATTAGGGCGGGACAGATGAAATGGTGGCTAGCATCTAGAGTCTTGTGCGATAAGAATGTGCCACTAAGACTTAAGGGTAAGTTCTACAAAGTGATTGTTAGGCCGACTATATTGTATGGTGCGGAGTGTTGGTCAGTCAAAAACTCTCATGCCCCGAAGATGAAAGTAGCTGAAATAAGAATGCTTAGTTGGATGTGTGGGCATACTAGGAATGATAAGATTAGGAATCAAGATATTCAGTATAAGGTGTAGTGACCTCCGTGGTGGACCAAAGGCGGGAAACGAGGCTGAGATGGTTCGGGCACGTGAAGAGAGATGCATAGATACCCCAGTGAGGAGGTGTGAAAGGCTAGACATGATGGGTTTAAGGAGAGGCAGAGGTAAGCCTGAGAAGTATGGTGATTAGGTATGACATGGCTCATCTTCAGCTTACAGAGGACATGACCCTTGATAGGAAGGTGAGGAGGTCGAGAATTAGAGTAGAAGGTTAGTAGTAGTCGAGCGTTTTACCTTTCCTTGTTTGTTGTTCTAGTATTATTCTCGTATTTCCTTATTCTTAGACACCTGATGTTGTTACAGCTTCTTTTCTCATGTCCTCTTAGCTATCGTATTTCCTTTAAACTATTATGATTTTGTGATCCTTGAGCCGAGGGTCTATTAGAAACAGTCTTTCTACCTGCACAGGGAAGGGGTAAAGTCGACATATACACTACTCTCCCCAAAACCTACTTGTTGGATTATACTAGGTATGTTGTTGTTGTTGAAGATATAATGTTGGCTTACGTTAACCCAGCCTAAAGATACTCTTATCTATTGTCTATTTTAGGTCGAGCACACACAATTTTCTCCCAAAAAACTCACACCGTTAAGAGTATCAGTACACTTTATATATTGCTTCTTTTTTTAATCAACTTTCAATATGGGACTCTTTTCGCACACTCAACAATCTCCCCTCGAATTAAGTTGCATATGACCCATCACCACAATTCCTGGGCTTATCTGGGGATTCAGTGTGCAACCCACATCATCCAAGTACTTATGGCCACCAAAGCACACAATCTTCTTTTTTCTGTGTGCATCCCTAAGCTAAAGGTAAAAGTAGTAAACCGGCCCATAGACGGGCAAATCAGTAAGTTGGGCTTCATGCTATCACTCTGATAACTCTATACTCGTTGCACCGAACAATTGGCTCTTATACAATTTGATGAGCTGAAGTCTAAACCAGCCTAAATACACTCTTAACATGTGTGATACTGTCCTTTTTGATCCAATCCCCCACGATTTTATCCAAAAAGCCCCACACTATTAAGAGTATCACTACACCTTATATGTTTTTTTAATCAACTTCCAATGTGGGACTCTGTTTGCACACTCAATAATATAATAGTAAGGAAACTTTATTGATAGTTTGTATACTTGAGGAACAGTGCATTTTTGGTATTCCATACGATATTTTTAAATTAAGGACTCGAGGAGTGTGTCACTATAAAGAACTTTATAGACTCGTTATCCACATTTAGCTCTAATCCATACATTATCCAATTAAAATTAATCCCCTACGTCTTCGGTCTAGCGATAAGAGTGCAGTGCGTGATATGTGGGTTTGACGCATGTTACGTGCTCAAATCTTGCTCTAGACAAAAGCATGGTGTTTAATTAGAGAAGGGTAGAGGGGCGGGCCATTATCCGACGAGTTTCGAACCTTGTGCACTCCACTAGTCCTAGGGGATTTCTCAGTTATCAAAAAACTACTATCCAACTAAAATTAAAAAATTAAGTTAATCTCACCAAATTCAAATCAATAAACTCAATGAAAAGAGTTTTAAAACACTTTGGGTCTCTTCACAAATCTGAATCAACATTCAAACCTAATGTTGAGTACTAACATCACTACAAAAAATTGAAGATAAACGAAAACCCACAAGTTTAGATTTATTCATTTGAACAACTAACCCCGCAATGTGGAAAATATACACTAACCAATTGAAGTAGAGCTGTACAGGCCCAGAAAGGAACAGAACACGAGAACCACAATAGGATAGCCTACACCCGATAATCCCCTCTTCAATGCCATATCCTGTTCACATAAAACAAAAACGAAAAAAAATCTCATATACAAAATGTTACCCAAATTAGATTATGTACAAAGAAAGTGAAATAGAGAGATACATCGGAATATTACAGAGTTCTCCTGCCAGAAGAAGTTCATTACCCAAAAAAGAAAAAACAGGGAATCTGAAAATGGAATGCCTGGGTGCCTTAAACAACAATGTAATTATAACATCGTGCCCGATAAAAGGAAAGAAGGGTCTTCGAGAACCAGAAAAGGGAGAAGAAGGAATGAGAGCGAATCTGAGAAATTGAGTGAGAGAAAATAGAGAGATCTTTTTCTCTCTTTCCTTGCATTTTCAAATATTTTTGTTTTCTGGTTAAGAAGTTTTAACTGTAAAGACGGCACGACGCCGTTTGTTGGCTTACGTATAGCTGAAGCTTATATTCACGTGAACTACTTGGGATAGTTAAATGGGAAATTAGTACCAGTTATGTTCATTTATAAGTAACTCATTGCAAAAATTGACCAATTGATAAATTACTAATATTAGCCAAATTAGCCAATCATCTATTTGTAACAAAAAAATATTAAATTTTTGCTTTGTTTGAGTGGGTGTTATTAGAATAGATTGGGCACAACTTAAGGAGCTTAAATCTCAATTTTAGGATGATTTGTTGAAGTTTTGAGGTAGTTTGAATTGAAAATTCGAAGTAAAAGCTGAACATGAAAAAAATGATATGTGTATCATTTGTGTATCACATATATATCAATTGTGTATCACATGTATATCCATGTATACCTGTGTGTGAGATACATGCGTGATACATGTTTGATACATGTGTCGCAAAAGACTTTTTTGAACTCGATTTAATTACAAATTTTGATGCAAAACCAGTCAAATCACCTCCAATCTTCCTCAAATTTGTATATTGACTTATCTATATATTTTCAATGAATTTCAACTATACCCATTGAAAAAGTTCCTTTTTTATTTAAATTTTTGGAATATTGTATAGATTTATGTATTTTATCACCTTATTTGCTATCCCGTCCATGAAAATTCCTTTCCGTCATGTATCTAATGTTGCTAATCATTTTTAAAAATATGAAAGGTGATTTTTGCATGTGATTCTTTGAGAGAAAGAACCCTATTATTTGGTTTTTCAATTTTTGTTGGCTGGTTTTAGTAAGTCTATGACTAATGGCTAGAGGTTGATAAGTTGAGATTTATTTGGGACATTTGTGTAAGTTTCCCTAGTTAAATAGATTCCTTATGAATAAATTCCTGCATTATTAATTAGATTAAGAGGAAAATAATGTACACCATGAAACGTGAGTAATTTCTTTTTTTAATAAAGGTGATGTTTGGGCAAGTTTACATTTATGTATTAGTTATTTTGTCAGCTCATCAGCAGAGATATTGAGTATTTTTGTCACCCAAAACTTTGATAGATAAAAAAAAATTATCTAATTTATTTTGTCTCTATAGGAATTTGAACGCAGATCTCAATGGTTTTCAACTTTATCGACGGAAACTTATGCACCGGGCTGCCTATAAATCATTCTTTAATCATTCAAGATACCATATTTTGTGGTAAAATCATAATTTAATCTGATGAATCCATAATTCTTGAATCAATGAAGAAGATGTTAAATGTAATAAATATACATATCATAATAATCATCTTTTAATAAGCCTTTCTATAAGAGTACGAGTTGTTTAATATTTGAAATTGAATAATTAAAAATTAGTCGATTTAGCATTGATGGATGCCGTATATGTTTGCCACAATCTTGCTTGTGTAAATTATTGTGCTATAAGCCAATTAATTACTTGACTGCTTGGCACAAATTATAACAAATCGAGAGATGTCAATTGGGGCAGGGCGGGGCAGGGCAAACCCTAAACGATAATCATGCATTTACAATTTACTTTTATTGAGAATAATAATTTTTGTTTTGTCTAGGGGTTTGACATGGACCCGACTAACTTATTAAAATCAAAAGAAAAATACAAGCAAGGTGAAAGAGACGTTACCTTACCAATCCTAATGAGAATAGGACATACCTTATCCTTTATAAGCATAAAGAAAATAGGAACTAGCTAAAATCAAATAATCCTAGGATCAACCCAGAGTTTATAGCATATTTTAAGATGATATTAAATAAGATAATCCTAGTAAAGTGCAAAATAATAAAACAAAGAAACAATTCAAGCTAATAACTAATTCAAAATTCAGTAATGCCATCGCCGCCAGCAAGCAATTATCAACTGTGTGTAGTGTAACCATAGTCTAATTATCAACTACAAAATTGGCTAAAAGGTCAGCTAACTCATTGCCTTTCTCTATAAATATGTGAAATTTTGAATTGAAACTCCATTACCTGAAGGCTGAAATAGATTATGAAAAAGGATACGGAAAATTTAACTCAAACTTACATAGGTTTATGACAATTTTACATTTGAAAAATAAGATAAGATAGTGTTTATAGGAGAAACAATTAGTTTTATAGCCTACTTGCATAGATTTTCACACTTTTGGCATGTTAAAGAAAATTTGGCATGTTTGAAGTGATGAAAATGGTCCTTAATGTATAGGGGCTGCTTTAGTTTGGTCCTTGATATATCACTCTTGATGGATATTGTCCTTAATGTATGTAAAAAGGTGATGTATTTGGTCCAAAGCCCTAAATCTAACAGAATTTTGTAAAAGGACTGTTAAATTTAACATTTTGGCTATGTGCACCTCACGTGAGTTTTGCCGAATTTTCTGGCCTGTAAAAGATAAAACATGCTTGTGCCGGTGGAAAATCAGTTTGACAAAATCCTTTTTTCTTTTTTCATCTCGCACGTGGAAAATCAGATACGCTCGATGAAGGAAGATTGAAGAGCTTCTCTCTTCTCGTTGTTTCCATCAACAAAGAATCAATTATCTGAACTGTAGAAAAAGTGATATCACATCGGTAGACCAGGTAGAGGCGGCTCAATAGTATTGGAGACCTAAAGTAAGACATAATAAGAGGCCTTAAACAATAATTTTAGATAATTTTATTAAAGTTTATTTTTTTAATTTTTTGAGATGCAATTTTATCTTGACGATGTAACCTATCCCTTTAATCTTTATTGTAACATTTCTAACCTTTGATAAGATTTTATTAAGTTTAATTTTGAATTTTTTCTTTTCACACGACCATCAACATAACTTACTATATAGTATTGCCTTCCAAAGTAACAATCATGTAGAAATTTGCATTTACAAAGATGATAAATATTTTACGATCTAATTAGCTTGAAGTGCGCCTGTAGAGATTGTATTGGGTGATACCCTTTTTGCTTGAGCCCGACCGGGTTGGGTCCGGTCCGGGGCAAGTCGGGGCCATCGAACCCGACCTGGATGCAAGGTAGAACGACGGCCACGTCAACAACCGAGGTCGAGTCATTTCGAGACCGTTGCAGAGCTCGATATGAGTCACCACCGGATGGAGAAACACACAAGGTCGGAAGCCGGACTCGTAACGGATAACCAAGCGTCGCCGGATATCTCGCCCAAACGTGATTTTCTCAACCACTTCAGGCCATTAAGGCGTAATTACAGGGATCCACGATGTAATTAATTTACCTACCTTATTTTTACCCTTAATCAGAATGTATAAAAGGGGAGAAGACCCCATAAAGAGGGGATCGGAAACCATTACACTACAGTACCATCTCTCTCAATTCTTGTACGCTATCAAGCACAATTGTTCTAAGCAATATTATATTCTGCGATTATTTACTTTAACAGCAATTGTTGAGTCTTTATCTTTTATTTTCCTCAATCCAAACCTTTTGTATCTTTTAGTTCACGGATCCTTAAAACCCCATATAAATTCAATTGTTATCCGAATTCCAGGGTAAACAGTTTGGCGCCCACCGTGGGGCTAAGGATATTAGTGAGCTCTTTGATACTCTTTCTTGACGCATCACAGTACACTGGTTCTTTGCAAAAGAGTCCATCTTACATTCAAATTACCAACTCATAGAATGGCACAATCAATCAACAACGAACTTGAACAGCAGACAGGAAACAATGGAATGCCCGGGCTCGAAAACCCGATAGATGCCGATTCCCGGATGGCGCTCAACACTGATCAGGCCTCCGGATCATCACATAGCGTCCGGGGAGAGGACGATTCGAGGGCCCAGGCAGTCGGCGAAGAGACTATCAACCTTAAAATGATTTTTGACATGCTGCAAGCCCAGCAATCGGCTATAGCTCAGCTCCAGAGCCGGGTCCAGGAGCCTGTCAGGTCCGAGGAGGCTCCCCGTGCAGCTGCAATCATCAATCCGACCCCAGTACAGCCGGAACGGGGTGGGCCGGATGCTGATTCTGCGGTTCTTAGGAGGCTAGAAGAATTGACCGAACGAATCGAAAAGGGGGAGGAAAAGATCGAGGCCAACAATAAAAAAGTAGAAACATACAACTCCAGGGTCGACCAAATACCAGGTGCACCTCCGGTCCTGAAAGGCCTTGACGCTAAAAAGTTTGTACAAAAACCGTTCCCATCCAGTGCCGCCCCAAAACCTATACCTAAGAAATTTAGAATGCCCGATATCCCGAAGTATAATGGGACCTCGGACCCAAACGAGCATGTGACAGCATACACATGCGCGATTAAGGGAAACGATCTCGAAGATGATGAAATCGAGTCAGTTTTGTTGAAAAAGTTTGGAGAAACCTTGTCCAAGGGGGAAATGACGTGGTATCATAACTTACCGCCAAATTCCATCGATTCGTTCGCCATGTTAGCCGATGCCTTCGTGAAAGCTCACGCCGGGGCAATCAGGGTAGAAACAAGGAAATCCGACCTATTCAAGGTCCGACAGCGCATAAACGAGACACTCCGGGAATTTGTGTCTCGATTTCAAATGGAAAGGATGGATCTTCCCCCAGTCACGGATGACTGGGCAGTACAAGCCTTCACTCAAGGATTGAACGCCAACAGCTCAGCCGCATCCAGGCAATTAAAGCAAAGTCTGATCGAGTTTCCAGTAGTTACGTGGGCAGACATCCATAACCGGTACCAATCGAAGATAAGGGTAGAGGACGACCACAGCGGAGCAAGTTCGGATTCACCATCCACACATAGGAATTTCGATCGACCTCGTAGGGAAAACTACAAAGATTCGAGACCGAACAAGGAAAGATATCGGCCGTATCAGGATGATAGGAGGCCTAAATTTACGAGGAACGACCGCGGCTATGAGAGGAACAGAAGACCGTTACCGAAGGCCAACCTCGGGAAAGTCGTCGATAGACAGGAAGCACCCCGATTGGCTGAATATAATTTCAGTGTCGA